AAACAGGTTTGTCCTGGAGAGGGTGAAGCCAGAATGCTCCTTGGAGTCAAGGATTCTGAAGCTTCGTCTGACATACTTTGGGCATGTTGCAAGGATTGACTGGTCTTTGGAGAGGGACATCATGTTTGGCAGAGTAGAGGGGTGGCACAGGATAGGAAGACCTTCGATGAGATGGATCGATTCTGTGACTGGAGTGCTGGGAATGAGTGCGTTTGAGATGGCTAGGTTGGCACAGGATAGAACAGTGTTTAGGGTTCTTATACATAGGGTCGCTATGAGTCTCAAGCGACTCGATGATACATAACAACAACAACAACAACAAAAGTTTATTAGAGAAGTGATGATAGCTATAGAACAGGGTTCAAGTCTTTAGTTCATTGGATTGCTATGAGTCATAGTTGACTTGATGGCACTTAACAACAGCAAAAGCTTTGTAGTTTCACTTCTCTACTACCCCTTTTACTCTCATTGTAGTACTAGAACTGACTGATAGAACCCTCCAGTGGGTTTTTAGAGGCTGTAAATCACGTGGGAGGAGATTGTCTATATTTCTCCCCTGGAGCAACTGGGGGATTGAACTGCCTGGCTTTGGCTTGGCAGCACAACTCCTTACTTTCTTAGGCCACCAGAGCTCATTAGTTTGTTATTTTTGTGTACTATTGAGTTATAACGGACCCTGCTTTTAGGTTGACAGTACAACTATTTACTCACTAGGCCAACAGAGGTCCCTGTCCAGATAATTATTACTGTATTATTCACAGGAGATCTAATGGTGCAATGGTTAAGAGTCAGCTGCTAATTAAAAAGTTGGCAGTTCAAACTCACCAAAAGTTCCATGGGTGAAATATATAGCATCTGCTTCCGTAACTATTTACAACCCCAGATCTTATCAGGCAGTTATGTTGTAAACTATTGGGTCACTTTGAGTTATATTTTACTTGATACCACTGGATATATTATTAATATTTATTATTCATCTCAAATATGTAAACTATCTAAAATGTTTGTTTCTTTTTCTCTCTTGAATTTTTTTTTATTTAAGTTGTCAGTTTTCCTTATGACTCAGGGTGAAGTCTCTCTCAGGGAGGAGTGATAGGGAATGGCAAAGGA